GTGGGCTGAAGTGCAGATATACAGATATCCAGGTGCCCCGAGTTGACTGGCAAAAGTTTTTGGACCACAGCAATTGAATGAGAACGGGGATGGGAGTGCAGAAGTGTTTTCCATCTCATGACCAGAGAAAATCGAGTTGCCAGTTTAATCCTTTAACTGCCCCGAAAGAAAAGTTTTTCTATAAATCGATATTACAGCACTTTGTGAGATTCGTTTATTGCAAATGTGCATACACAAAACAGGCTCTTTACGATATTAATTCGGGAAAGTATATGGCATAGGCAAATTTGTATTCCGAAGGTTATTTTATAAATTTATTTTAATTTCATTTTTGAAGCGCCAACCTATTTATAATTTTTTTAGAACTAATAAAGGTATTGCAGCATAAAATAAAGAGTTAACCAAAAATATCATAAAAGCAATCCGCTTGCAATAAATGTTTCCTACTTTTAAACGACTAACAGCCAATTTCTCAATGTCATGTTAAGGTTCTAGTTAACATGATGTTAAAATGAAAGAAAAATTCGTATTCTTAATTTGACTGTTAATGTTGTTTAATTTGTGGTCAGTTTTATTATGTCGACCTACAAAATTACGTAGAATCTGACCTGATATTGAGAAACTACAATTGACAAGATAACCGCAAGTCAACATGAAATGAAGAATTCGACCCTTAAGATGTTACATTTGAACATGTTTTTTAAGGCAGACAGTGGTATTATAACTCTTGCCGTTTTGATTTGATTTAATTTCCGTTAGAAGTGAGTCCTGCCAACGCGGCAGTTGAATTTAACCATTTTGTGTGGGTACTTGCAAGGTTTCTGCTTTTCAATTTAGTTTAAATGTGCATCCTGCTGCTGGCGGTCCCTCCCCGTTTGCATTCCACTTGCAACCAGGAACCGACCAGAGAATCGAGCATTAACCAGAGAATTGCACGCGCGCACGGCGACCGTTGAGCGATTTCCGTTGCTGGTTACGTCATGCACTGAGGGGGATGGGTTGGAAAAAGGGGGGGGCGCGGGGTTTCGGGGCTGTCAGGAAAATCTTGCTGCAGTCCTGCAGGACTTTTGCAGTGGCGCTGGCCCCGGCGACGTGACTGAGCGATTACTCATATCCGGCAGCGCCGCAAGTTCCTGTTGTGAGTGCGCGCACAATTGCCCGAAGGAGGTCCCGTGTCCATGGCCATGTCCATGTCCATGTCCGAGTTTGGATCAGAGGGAACCGAGAGCCCCCAGACAGAGCCACCCCCTCGCCAAGGATTAAAGCTGTCCGCTCGACAGTCATTATGACGTTAATGAAAACCAACACCGACGACGGTGCACCTGTGCATGCTTCGCACCTGCACCAGCATAAGTCTCGCCCAGCTCGTTTGCATATTGCCCAAGCAGCCTGGACACCACCCCCACTGCATATCCTGGGTGGAAGCCACCCCCTTCCGGTTACCGCCCGGTACCGCCCCCAAAATGCGCTACGTCTGTCTGGAACACACACAACACAACACAGTTCGTTTTAATTTTCACAATTATGCATGCAAAAGTGCAATGTTTGTTGGTATTTCGCTGGCATTTTCGTTTGGCATTTTGTTGCGTGTTACACACACACACACCACGCCCCCTTTTCCCCTTTTTTTCCAGCCCCCGCCCTTGGCTATAAGCTCAGTTAATACGTCAAAAATGCAAAATGCATGTTTCCCAACGTGGATTGGACACTTTTCGGTTTGTGTAAATAATGCAAATTTATATATATATAGCGTATACGTATTTTCAATTATGTATCCGTATGGCTCCGCTCGTTTATGTAAAATGCCCTGTATTCATTAGTCGCACGCTTTGGTGGATGGGATGGGATAGAATGGTATTGGATTGGATGGTATGGGATAGGAGAGATGTGAAGTGGAGTGGAGTGTCAACGCGTCGCCTCAACGCTTGGCTGGATTTGGTGCTGCTCCTGCTAATAACCATTTTGGTGGCCATTATGTTGGCCCAATGGGATATGCTCGGTTTGGGCCACAGTTGCCGAAAGAAAAGGGCCTGTAATGATGGCCAGAATGAAATGTGTGCTTTTAGAGGACTTTACGGTGACAGGATGGGATAGGAAAAAGAGATGTCATTAGAAATTGAAGTTGTATAATGGGATAAACTTGTATTAAAAAAGGAAAAAGGTTAAGACATTTCTAAAAATATGTAATAAAATTACCTACTTAATGCCTTGTGCTATTATCCCTAGACACTTTCATAAGAAATATTAAAATGAGTAGTAATTGCTTTCATTTGAATAAACGACTTAGCTTGCATATAAATGACTATTTACTTATTTTAGTTTAAAATAAAACAGCTAAAAACTTAAAAAAGTCATCCTTCTTGGATAATAATAATAACTAGTTATGAAATCTGATGAGTTCATTAGTTTATTTTTCTATCGACATAATGTGGGATCCACTTTACTATAAAAATCTTGTAGTATATTGATTAATTGCTTGCTAACGAGTAATCAAATAGTCGTTTATCACATTTGCGCTGAAACTGAAGTTGCAGTCCATGTTGCTGCTGCTGTCAACAACAGAAGCAGCAAAAGCAGCAGCAACATCGGGCCAGCGTTTGCTTAATTATTTTTCCATTAAATGCCAATTAAATTTGGATATTATGTTTTAAACTCGCATTGAATTTCCCGCGTGGCTTTGGCCAGGGTTGCCAGGGCAACGTTTGATTGCAGTTGCATTTTCGTTATTTTTTTTGGGTTTTCCATTTTATTATGTGTACATAATTTTCCGGGCAGACACACAGATATATCTTTATAGAGGACCCCACTGGAAAAAACCCCCTACCCCCCAACTAGATGATGATGATGGCCAGACGACGACGACGACCCAGTTGGCAATTGCAAAATGTTCTACATCCATTTGTTTGTTTGTTTGCTTTCTCTATGCCAAATGCCAAAGAGTGGAGCGGATGAGCTCGGGTTGTCAGGGGGATGAGCTGCTGCGGTTTTATTGCATTTCAAAAGTTGAAATTATGTTTGCTTTCTGCGGCAAGGCGGACGCCGCCGACTGCCTTTTGACTAAGTGGCAAGCAAAGCTGCAACAAAACAGCACTTGAAGTTGCCTTTGTGGCAAGTTGCAGTCAAAAGCCCAGACATTGCTGCAGGAAAATGGGTTGGGTGTCCTCTAATGGATTTATTTCGTCTAGCTGGGCGTGGTCAATTAATAAACTTTGCTTGTACTTACACCATGAATAAATTGGTTTCAGCTTATTGAATTAGTAAACTTTCGTTGTATTTAAAGAGTAGCTTCAAGTGTAGTAAATCTTCAACACCAATCAAGCAATTACCCCCGAAGAAAGGCCTCCAGTTTCACGTTTCATTATCCCCTGCTTATTTGCCAATGATTCGTTTAATTTCAGAACTTACAGAACCCATCCCCCCCATTCCAGATCCCCCGGGTCTTCAGGTTACTTGGGCCACTTTATTGCCTTCTCCAATTGCTCCTTTTCCTCGGTCTGTCGGTCAGTGCTATTAAAAAAGAACCAGAGGGGCAGTGGAACATTTTAATGTTTAATAACCAACTTTGGTCTGTGGAATGTTCACTTAAAGCAGCCGGATGGCGAATGGTGGATCCTAAAAGGTCCGTTCCGAGTGTTTTGTACAAATTGCCGACCCAAAATGGTTGCGACACGTTTCCAGCGCTTGGCCGGCCAATGAAGCAATTGCCATCCACTGATTGAAATGGCAAAAAGTGCACGGTCCCAAAAGGGTCGTCCATCATCATCACCAGCCAGCCGCCTCATCCTCCTATAAAGCCGTCATCGTCATGGTTAATAAAGGGGCGGCATTGGCGGCGGGGGCGGCCTGCAAATCGAAACCTTTGCCGTCGATTCATTTGCATAAATTCCATGCGCACCTGCTGCCCAGAAAAGTGGAGGAGGGCCAGGGGGATGGGCATCACCATGGCAACTTTTGCCAGTCTTTTGATCTGCTCAAACTCGATAATGATGAATGCGATGCATTTGATTGGATTACATGTGTATTCGGCCGGGGCTTCGTTGGATATTCATTTACAAAATGCTAATTGGACGGTGCCTAAGCCTCAGGCCAAGGTCGTATTCCTAAGTAATCAACCATCAACCCAATGTTTTGACTCATCTCGTAAATTTGCACAAAGGGGGTGAATGGAAATTTGTGGAAATAATTTGAATAATGTTACCGAAATTTGATTTTGTTCTAGGAAAAGAAGGTATACTGATTGAAGGGAAGCCTTTTAAGCGTACTAATCTGTTAAAATTATAGGTTTTTAATTATTTAACTTACTTGATTGCATTGGGAAGGGAAAGAAATCTGTATGTATCTATAAGAAAATATTATATTTATATAACTCCTTATAGTTTTAAGAATCACTGCATTTATCACACTAGTAAAGCTACAGGGTCCAATTTTTGGCCCAATAATCTAACAAATCTATATAAAAGTATAAATATTTAAAATGAAAAATTTTAAAAGCCTTGATGGATATAATTTATAGGACTTTAGTTCTTAGTATTAATACTGAATACTCTTTAAAGGTTATTAAGGCAGCAAGTATAGGTAAGATAATTTTTAAAGATTATCTGAGGAATACCGCCTAATTAAAGGGTATAGAAATGTTAGCGCCATAAGTCCCTTCAGGCGCTTATCTAATTTTTAACGAATGCTACTCACGTTTCCCATGCAAATTAATAGCGCACACCCATCGCGAATGAGGGTGTGTGTGGTTCTCGGTTTGTGTGTTTAGAGTGGACCTTTATGTGTGCCGTTTGGAATTCCAAGTGCGCTGATTAAATTTTCGATTTCATATTTGACAGCCAGCGTGGTTGTCGTTTGTGGTGGTTTACGGATGGTGGGGTTCGGTCGGTTCATGGGTGTTCTGCGGTTGTCGTTATCGACGATTCTGTCGAGTGGCGGCGCCTAATTTGATTGTTGCATAGCATTTACACTAATTATGCCAATTTGTTGCTTTATGCTAATTGCAGGTGCCCAACATGCCGCTTAAGTTGCCAACGGAGGCGCCAACCTCGATGCCAACACCTTGCCTGCATCAGCGGCGATTTCTTGAATCTCAGCAGCTACAGTTGCCACAGCAACCGCAGCAGCAACACCAGCAGCAGCAGCAAACCCAACTGCAACAGCAACATCTACAACAGCAACAGCAGCAACAACAGGCTGTCAAAGATGTATCGGTAACCGTATCCGTATCTGGGCCAGCAGCTGTCAGCGATGTGTTCTCCACGCTGATGACATCGACAGCAAGAACGGCGACAACGGCAACACCAACAGCAGCAGCAGCAGCAACATCACCAGCCCAAGCGGCAACAACAACCACACTTGAATTGGCCAACAAAGGTGAGTGTTGAAACATATGGGACAATGCCCAAGACTCTTAGGATCAAAGATAAGCGGAAGCCACATTAGGGGCTATCTCTAGTCGGGGTTGTCAAGATGCTAAAATAAATACACAAGGTATAAGCTATAAACAATGTTGAAAAATATGTAAATTACAAGGAAAACAGGCAATATTTATGTCTATTCTGATGACTCAAGCTTAGGTTCGATAAAAAGAAGTTGAGTATGTTCCGAGGACGATTGTAATCGTTATAAATAATATTCAACCAAGCAATCATTTGTAAAGTTACGGATGAACAACTTCCTAATGAATCAAACGCCTTTCTTTCCCCCACAAAGAAATGCCTTTTTAATAATTTGCCATTTCATTGGAGAGCTCTGGGAATGACGGATGTTTCCCTGTTTTATCGGCGCCATGGCAACCCTGGCTGTCAAAGCGCCCCTGCGGGTGAACATTTCCAGCGCTCAAAAGTATGCTATGGAAAAATGTGATGCCTGCATTTTTGCGCAACTGCAAAAATAGAAAGGAAAGGCAGAAAAAAAAATATATAGAAAAACGACGACAACGACAAGGACTGACGACGAGCAAGACGAAGACGACGACGGATGCACAATCGAGGGGGAGGGAGTGCGGGGAGGGGGGGGCGGCAGGATATAGCCGGAGGTGAGGTCAGGCCAAAAGGAAAACTAGTGTAGATACGTGCGAAAAGTGCAGGCTGGGCCAAGGAAAATCCTAAGCAAAGCAAAGCAAAAGCAAAGCCATGCCAAAATGGAGCACAGCAGGAACTGCACACAAACACCCAGGCACATCCCTGCACATTTGTGCACACACAGTTGGGGTCAGCTAAATGTCTTTAAGGATTATCTTGGTATGTGCAGGTTACTTGGTTAGGTTGAAGAAAGCTACTGAAAAGGATTTAAAAAGGTTCTTTTAAATACTTGGTATTTAATTCAATTTAATACCACCTTTTAATAAAGTTTTGATTAATAAGATTCTTCTTCTTAAATTAAGGGTATTACCCATAAAATATTATCTCAAAGATTAAAATTGTTGCTCGAATCTGAAAAATCAACCTAGAGTTATAAATAGTACAGCAACACCATTCAAGTTTTTACTATACATTTTTACTGTCGTATAGGTTTGGGTTAAGAACTTATTTTTCCCTAAGTAACACTAACTTTTTGAAACGCTTTTTCATAAAATAAAAGGATGAACCTAGTTCTTCATAAGACTTAGCCTTAAATTCACTTAATCCGTTCCCTTCAAGTCCTATAAAAGGTATGCCTACAAATCATCATCTGACAGACATAATCTTTATATAATCTAGTTCCAGTAATGCTAATATTTTGACCTCACCTGTTGGCACACATGAACATGTGAGTGGTGGTGCAAACAGATGCAATGGAAAAGGTGCTCGATGTTGACTGTGGCTGCTGCCAAGTGAAAAACGATGCCTAGACAATGATAAAGTAAAACTGCACACACACGGGGGAGCTGCAGAGTGAGGGATACCTACAGATAGATGTACACAAGGATACAGGCGCTTGGGGTGGGGGGTGGAGTTCAAGGAAATAAAAGGATAAAATCGCTGGCAAACAAACACAGCGAAAGCAGCGAGTTCAACAAGCTTAAAACAGCATACTTTATATATATATAGCTGGATTTCGGGGGGAAATGGAAAATGGAAGGTGGGATGTTTGAGCACTGGCAGGAAGTGCATTTCGGATGCTTTCCACCCGTTTGTCGTCTGTTTGGCCCCCTTCCAAGTTCTTCGCCCCATAACCAATTCTTCAGCTTGTTTTGATTTTGTCTTTTGTGTGACCAGTCAAAGGAAGTTAACGCGTTCCAAACAAAAACCCAGAGCGTTACTCAAAGACATATCCCACCCACAATACACTTGGATTTTCCCCCACCCACCGTTCCACTAGATTTTCCCAACAACCAACAGCTGCAGGCGCTTTAAGTCGGAGGCAGAGCAGCATGATAAATAAATGTTATGTTTATTAAAGACCCCCGACTGCTGGGAAACATTTACACTTGAGAACGCCCCAAGCAGTTTGGACAGCTCGCATTTGGGAATGGCTTTTCGATGGGGATTTCAGTTGACTGGCTTGAGTTTTTGGTTATACATAACTACAGCTTTTTGAAGGTGACACAAAAAGGGAAAAGTGCAAAAGTTCAGCGTTGATTTGTGCGACTCAGGAAGCCAATTAGCAAGATATACAAAACTTTTCCCTCTGCAAGTGTGATTTTGCATTCAAGTTTGCTTCAGATGTGGTGGGGTATATCTGTTATAAACGAAAAAAATTATATTTTTTTTATGTAATACAGTTTTTTAATGAGTTTTAATGGATGTTGTAAGCTGCTATTGCATTTAATAACCTTTTATTTCGACTTTGAGAACTATTTCTTTTGATTTGAAGTAAAATATAGTAATCCTAGTTTAGGATTCATCACTTCCTACTGTGTTTAAGTTAGGGTATGAATAATTCGCGCTGCTCGCTCACGTATATTTGTATTGAATTCCCTCTGCAATCATCCGGGAAGCACTTGCAAAACTTTTATTCTATTGACACCGCACCAATTCAGCATCCGCACTTTCCCAGCTTTCCCGCTTTTCCGACCTGCCCTTTCGTATCTGCAACTGCCGCAGGCTGGCGGAGTTTTTGAAAGGGTTTTTCTTCCAGCAACTCAAAGCAATTTGATTTCCATTTGAGATATTTGCTCGCCGAGTGCAAGGAAAAAGGAAAACAACTGCAAAACTGTTGCCAATTTGGGGAAAAGGCAAAAGGGTTTTCGCAGCTCGCACATTCATTCCTTCCCTCATTCATTCATTCATTCATGCACTCATTCATTTATTAATTCATGGAGATGGAGTAGGCGTGGCAAGGGGGGCGGGACAAGGTGGACAAGGGAGCTCAGCAGTTGGGCAAACATTTGGCAAACATTGTTAAAAACTTTAAAATGAAAAGGTTAATTGAAACAAAAGGGACTTGATGGCAAAAGTTTAACCGAGCGCGTCCACTGCGTACCGCCTACCAGCCACGCCCACGGCCATTTTGCACAACCGCCCCCATCCTTGGCCACCAGGCAGACAGGAGCAACCACTTGCAATCCTCCAGCGGGTGGAAAGTCCAATCAGCGTCGCATTAAAAACCCCGCACAAAGCAAAAGTTTTCCACGATTTAGAAATTTTCGCGAGCCATCGCAGATAATGGGGGTTTTTTGAAGGGGAGGTGGTGCTTTGGAGGTGGTTCCTTGGAGGTGGTGCAAAAGTTGGTTAGGCTGCGGTCTGTGTGGGTGTGGCAAGTATTTGCAAAAACAAAAAATCGAAAAATCTTTTGCCCTAGCTAAATGAATTTAAATTTTCTGTGGCTGGTTCTGTGCGTATTTGTTTTTTTATTTTTTGAGGGTTGCATCCCTTTTTTTATTTGTTGGGTAAAGCTTTTTAATTATAAGTCTGCCATTATATGCTTACGCTTGAAAATGACACAAAAAACAGCACACTAAACCTTTTTTTTGCTCAAAAGCACTCGACGCACGTTTGTGTGTTCTGATTTTTGGGATTCCGGAGTTCTCCCCATTTTGCTACTCCACCAAACTCAAACAGTTTACAGGACCTTTTGTGGGTGGAATGGGTGGTTGTGTCTTTGGGTGGACACGTTGCGGGCACTTTAAGGACGCGACGCGCTTTGCATAAGCAAAAGGAAGAACCCAAGGATGTCTTGACCTTTCACTGACTTTGCCTTTTCAATTTGTTGCTCCATTTGCAGACGCTGATTGCCACAAATACGGCAATAACAAATTACCTGCCTCGGTCCGGAACACGCCCACGCCCACGCCGGCTCCAACGCCCCCGCTACCGCTTCCGCTTCCCAATGCGATGCCAACTAGTCAAGCATTAGCCTTGGGCGGGCTACCAGTCGGCGGCAATCTCCCCAAGCGCTCAACGGGGGGACATGTGATAAAGCAGCCAGCCAATGCTCTTGCGCCACCAAACACGACTTCCGGAGGAGCTACCAGCATCATCCAGCAGCAGCAGCAACATCCCAACTTCAAGGACGACCCGGCTGGCTATCTCCAACAACAGACTGCAATGCTGCACAACAGCCTGGGAGGATTAGATGTAGCCAAAACGGCAGCAGGAACTTCCACAGCGAGAGCTCTGCCCCAAGAACCCATTGTGCACAGCTCCCAGCAGCAGCAGCAGCAGCAACTCCAGCAACAGCAACTTCAGCAACAGCAACTCCAGCAGCAGCAGCAACATCTGCAGCAGTTGCAGCGCCAAAAGATCCGTCGCCTGTCGCTCTTTGGAAAATGGGAAACAGATCCAGTATCCGCCACGAATTCCCAACCAGCCGCGGGAACCCGAACCCTTCAAGTGGACACTGCCGCCTTTGCACGACCCCAGAAGCCGCAGATCACTAGCGTAACCATGGTGCCAGCTCCCCAGGAGTCACCCGTGTCGAGTAGTGCAACAGAGACGCTGGAGAAGCGGCCCGAGCAGGTGGGGGCCATATCCACCAGTCACGAGAGTCCGCGGCAGAGCTTGTCCTCGCCCACGGACTCAGTTGATTCGGCCAAAAGCACGCCCTCCGCTTCACCTAAGCCCCAGATGCATGTCCAGCTGCAGCCGCAGTTGCTGCAAATGCGTACGCAGCCCCAGGCGAATCTTCCAGCTCCGGCGCCGGTCACCCTGCCCGCCCACGTTCGTGTGATGCGTCAGCAGCAGACGCAGATTATTCCCGGCCAGCGATTGCCGGTGGTCAGTAGTAGTGCAGCCATGGCCACGATGACGAGGAGCATAGTAACCTCGTCGGCGGGAACGAGTACGATAACAGGTCGGCCGGTGACCACCACGTTGGCCAACTCGAATCCCACAGTGGCGCAGTTGCAATCCATGGCGAACGCCATGGGTGGAGGAGGTGGTGGTGGCCAATTGATAATGACATCTTCCGGACAACTGCTGGTCATTCCGACGGCCAACAAACAGGCGACGCAACGTCAACCCGGACAAGGTGTGATCATCCAGCAACAGCAGCCGGCGGAGTTGCATCCACAACCAGGAGGTGGCTATATCGTCAGCCAGCCCTCTCCAGTGGCGTCCGCCAGTTCCAGCAGCAGCAGCAGCACTGTGATTCTGAACTCCGGTGGAGCTAAGCTCTTGCACCACCAGATCATCACCTCGCAGGCTGGTCAGATTAATCAGGCGACTGGAGGAGGAGCGGGAAATCAACCACAGACGGTGCTACTCAACACACTACCCAATGGAGGCTATATCGTCCAGCAGCAGCAGCAATCGCAGACGCAACAGCAGGCCGAGCAGATCCTGGCCATGCCGCAACCGCCTCCGGCGCAAACACTTATCATCAGTTCGCCGGATACCAAGAGAAGGGCGCGAAAGCGCAAGAGCTCCATTTGCCATACACCGCCGCCGAGTGGATCGCCCGCCAAAACCATCTCGCCCCAGATCTCGCCCAGCATCCCCAGCCAGGCACCAGCATTGCTCCACCAGCAGGCAGCGGCAGCAGCAGCGGCGGCGGCGGCTGCTGCTCCACAATTCCAACAGCAGTTCCAGCTAAGTCCAGGCATCCAGGGAATCGTTGTCAACAAACCCAATCCCCCGCAGGCTCAGCAGACACAGCAGCTACTGCTCCAGAACGGGCAGATCCTGCAGCAGGTGAACCTCATTGGACAGCAGCTTCTCATGCCTGCCGGTTTGGTGATGGGACCGGATGCCACTCTGCTACAGATCCAGAATATGCCCACTACCAGTCTGATGACGCCGCAGGGACCCGTGATGCTGCGTACACCATCGCCACAGAACAAGCCATCCTTTATCTCGCCGAGCGCCGGGGGACAGCAGTACTTAGTGGGTGCCAATGGGCAGTTGAGCCCCATCGGACAGATCTACTCCACTCCCATGGGTTTGGTGATGCCGACCGGTCAGCAGGGAGGTGCATCCTTTGTACAGGCTAGCCCCACGACTACCACCATCCAGATCCAACAACAGCCAGCGCCGCAGCCCACTCAAATCAGTTTGCAGCCGGCACAAGCCACCTACATGACGGAGACGGTGATGAGTCGCCAGGGGACGGCTGCCAGTCCGCCGGACACTACCACCTGCAGTCCACGAAGCCCGGAGCGTCCCCCCAGTCATCGCAGCAGTGGCAGCGACATGGTGAGTGGATAAGAGTGCTATCCTATTTCTTTTTTTTAATACCTATTGATTTGGCAGGTACAATGCGTATCCAGTTCGGAACCGGATGCGGCGGTTTCTCCCCAAAGCGCTGAGAGTAGGCAGTCGCCGTCTTCCACGGACTGTGAGAGGAGTAAGTCCATCTTGTCTAGTAGAATCCTTTTTTGTTAAACTCTTACTCATTAACTTATCTCTTAACCAACCAGGCATCTGCAACAACAATCTGTTCACACAGCCAAGTGGGTTATACAAGCACTCGGAGCCAAAGATCCGGCGAATCCACATCACCTCGCAGACGGCGGCCGAGAACGGGATAAGCCTGATGCAGGGACAAGGTATGCGACTGGCCACATCTAACACCAACTCCACATCCGCATCCATGTCCATAACATCGTCATCGTCGGCACCACTAACCACCAATGCGATGGCGGGCCACCGCCAGTTCTTGCACCGCCAGCCGGTAGTGCAGCACCACCACAATCCAAACATTGCCAACAACAGCCATTCAAACACCTTTCTTCATAGCCACAAAGTAGTTAACTTTGACTACCAGGGTAAGGCCCCATCGCTGACCAGCACTAACTGCATCCACACCACGCTAACCAACCACCACCACAACACCACCCATTTGGCCACTGCATGATCGCCTGCACCACCACCTGCACCTTCTTTGTTTAGTTTGTAATCTCTGCCCTCCGTTGTTGTCCTCCGCTCGGTGCTGGGATCACCTATGCCCCCGAGTAACCTAAGTCAAAGTCCTAGTCTCTACGTACGTGTGTGTGCCTTTCATAGAGTCGCCCACAACAACGCAGCTGATTACATCGGTTCCAAGTGCTCCAGTTCTGGATAATGTTCCTGCACCACCAGTCGAGAAGGCGACAGTTAGGAAGCCCACCAAACGTTCGCGGCGACCGCAGCGAGGAGTGGCTCGTGAGACACCCTCGGCGGCCGGTAGAAGCTTTCTGATGCCGCCGCGATCCTTTGCCATTGGGGAACTGATCTGGGGTCCGGCCCGGGGCCATCCCGCCTGGCCCGGGAAGATCGTCAAGATGCCCGACGGAGTGTGCACGCCGTCGCAGCAGTTTGACCACGTCTGGGTTCAGTGGTTCGGCGGCGGCGGGCGCTCCACCTCTGAACTGATTCCGGTCAACTCGTTGCAGAGTCTCTCCGAAGGTCTGGAGGCACATCACAAGGCCCAGAAGGATACGAGAAAGTGAGCATCGGTCAAGGGTTGTGGGAATGTCTAGGCAAAGATTAGGGGGGATTATAATAAAATCAAGTTAATCCAACAGGCAGTTATTCAAGGAAACCATCGTCTTTAGGTGAAGAACAGACCAGCACTGTAGCTAGAGATATACCTGTATTATGAATAGATTTTATATGAATTTATAAATATTTATCCAATTAGTTTTGTCTAGACCTTGTCCTATATTTAAGTAGAGAATAATTTTCTTTTGTTTGTAGCCTATTTTTGCTGATTTATGAAAATTTAATAATAAAAGCCACTTTTATTAGTTAAGTAGTTTATTTTGTTGTACAAAAATATTCTGTATTTTCATTTGTAGCCATTTTTTACAAAATGTTGTAGTTTATTATTATGAAATCGTAAATACGTAGCTAAATCTTGATAATTGGACGTTTGATATTATTAGCTGTGCAATTTAGCTATAAATTGGCATTTAAATGCATTATTAATTAATTTAATCATTGTTTACCATTTGACTTTTAATTTGCTAATTAATATTCTTGTTTCTTTTTTTAAAATGCGCTGAACCAAATCCAAAAATTAAACCCTGCCCTGCCAACCCCAACGTGTATAACTCTGTGTGTGTGTATGCATAATCATCATCATCATCATGACCAACAACAACAACAACAACCCCACTTGAAAATGAAAATACCAAACCCGAACCCAACCTGAAACCAACCAAAACCAAAAATTCAACCACATACACACACCCACCATGCGACCACAAAGGAGCCGCAAACTGAACTCGCAACTCGAGCGGGCCATACAAGAAGCAATGACTGAGTTGGATAACATTTCAGCCTCCTCAACACCCGCAGCCACATCCTCCTCATCATCCGCCACCATAGCTGCTGTTCCTTCGGCATCAGCAGGACCAGCTATAATTGGCGGACAACAGCAATATCAGCATCAGCAGCAGCACCAGCAGCAGTCGCCCTCTTCAACGAACAACAAAATAAATGGACTCGCGCGGAGCAAGCGCCAGGCCAACAACACAAGTGGGGCCAGCATGGTGCTGACCACCAGTACGGCGGCCACATTGAGTGGCCTCTTCAATCAGCAGCGAGCCAAGCCCATACGCATTGCTCCGGCTCCACCGGTGGCCACCACGGGCACCGGGAATATGGGAACGATACAAGGAGCTGGAGCTGGAGCTGCTGTGGCATCGAGTGGAGCAGGAACCACCACAACTCTCGCCCGTTCCGAGATCCTGAAGCTGGCCAAATGACCAGCGCTGTCGACGTTGTCGTCGACAGTAAGCACAGCCAACTACACGCTCGTCATCGGGCACAAGTAGTGCGGGATTGAGGGAGGAGATGCCGCCAGGCCATACGTTAAATAGCTATCCCATATACTATACGAGTATAGAGTTTAGTGTTAGATGTCAGGCCTCTCAGCTTTGGAGTTTGTTGATTTGTATTCTTTACCAGACTCTCCCCGCTTAGTTGCGTCGCTGGGCGGCGCGCGCCACACTTTCGAAATAGACAATAATACAGCAAGATGATGATGTTAATGAAAAACCAAGTTACAAAGAAGAGTTCTAACAATAAGCGATCGTTTTTGCTTCGTACACAGCGCCTCGGCGCAATTTTGCGTTGTTTTGTATATAGTAAACACCCCAAGCTACACAGATGTTAGTATTAAGTATTTATTTATTGCATATAGACCCTTGGTTTTTTATAGGTTTTGTTTTCGTTGCAATTTTTAGACTTACCCATTATTTTTATATATAGGTAGCCTAAGCTGATACTTAGCCACTAAGTTAAAACCCGAGTAATCATCAACAAGGCAGATCTACAATTACATTTGCTTTCTCAAGCAAAAAAAAACATCAAATCAAAAGCAGCTACTGATTTTCATTTATTGCGTATATGCCCAAAATGTTTTTTAAACTCTAGAGGAACAAATTATTTATGTCAAACACAAAAGAAAAACCTTGAGAAATAATTAAAGAAGGATGAGAGAAATTATATTTATAAATTGTTATTATTTATTTAGTTGAGACTATTGTAAAATTATAATTGTAAAACAAAATACAAAAACGAAATCACACTTAGCGGAACCACACAAAACAAATAAAAAGTAAAAAACAAGAGAACTAAAACATACTTGTTGATTTGTAATTTGTTGTCTAAGACTCAACGCCCTACAATTCATTTTTAATCCAATCTTGAAAGAAATGAACCCTCGTGTACAAACTTGGAATGTTTGGAGTATCGCATGCAATGCCTACTGAAGTGATTCCCATAATTTGAAATTTGCACCCATCCTCCATGAAGGGAATCAGCAAAGGTCCTCCCGAGTCCCCATTACAAGTGTCCTTATGATCCGGAGATCCAACACACAACTGGGAATCTGCTTTGTATCCTTGCGGAATATCTTCGTTGGGATCCGATGTACTCCCACATACGCCACCATAGTTTCTGAGAACAACCTGCCTCAGTTCCTTGGACTGTTCGAAGTTGGAGAATCTCTTTTGACCCCATCCGATTGCGATGAAGGCAGCTGTCAAGTCTCCATTACTTAAGGGCAGACAAGCAGGGAACTTGTATTGGCTGTATCTTATTTCCCCGCGCAACCGGACAATCCCAATATCGTTGTAGAGAACTGGGTACTGAAAATCTGGATGGGCCTTAGTTTCGAGAACTTTAATGTCCTCCGGTTGGGCGTCGTCCTTGTCACTCTCAAAAACAAGTTCTCCCAAGCGCACAATGTTTACGGATCCTCTGCAAAATATAATTATGATTCATAAATGGTTAGCTATTAAATTGAGAACCTGAAAAGTCACATTTTTATATAATTCTAGAAACTTACACATCTGAATAAAAGCAGTGGGCAGCCGTCAAAATCACGCGATCACTAATTATTGTGCCACCACAGAACCACTTGGTTTGGTTCAGAGTAGAATTATGATGCCCAAGGCGAGCTGCCGGGGTGTACTCTCTTGCAGCCGCGGGAACTCCGCCAACAAGAGAAGGTAACTCCGGATCTTAGAATTAAAAAAATATTATCATAGCTTTTAAAAAAGATGGAAGGCTCACCTAGATCGGCGTATATTATAAGAAAGCTAAAGCCAAATAGCAAAATCAGTGAAACAATGTATCTGCTCATTTTGTATGTTTGAAAACTGCAACTGCCTAGATGGAAGATTGCGCACAGACTAAAATATGGGTAATAATTTCAGTCAGAGATTTTATATTGGTACCGGTTTCTTTATCTGTAGCCTGAAAAAATGCATCTGCTTTGATTGGGAAACCCAATGTTTAAGGGATCCACTAATCGGATTTCTAAGACTAGCTGATAAGAGGGAATTTACACTTCCTAAATATAGAAATCAGGTTTGAACCTAAATATGTATATCGATTGAAATCATGAGGTAAATGCTATTAGAGAATACAAATTTGTCTTGAATAACCGTTATGAAAAGGGGCTTATAAAATATGCTCGATCTGGGTTCGAATTAGGAAATAAATATTTATAAATTAATAATTTGTTTTAAATTAAATTTTATTTAAAAAAAGGGAACTATTTTTTAAAGTATAAAATATTTTACATATCCTTATGTCCTCGCCAATTCCCTTCTAATGCAATCCTGGAAAAAGTGCACCCTCGTGTACAAACTGGGAATGTCCGGAGTATCACATGCGATTCCCACCGACGTGACACCCATGACTTGGTATTGGCATCCGTTTCCACTAAAGGCAATCAGCAGCGGACCTCCTGAGTCTCCATTACAAGTGTCCTTGTGCCCCGGGGATCCAATGCACAACTGTGACTCTGCCTTGTAACCGAGGGGCAACTCCTCGTTCGTATCATTTGTCTCTCCACAGGACTGTTTATAGTTTTGCAGCTCGACTTCCCTCAATTCCTTGGACGGCTCAAACTTGTCAAATTTCTTCTGACCCCATCCGATGGCAGTGAAGAATTCTATCTGCTCTCCGTCATTCAGAGGCAGACAGGCGGGCAGCTTGTAATGGCTAAAGGTTACTTGTCTTCGCAAACGAACCACCCCAATATCATTGTAGAGAACTGGGTACCGGAAGTCCGGATGGGCCTTAGTTTCGAGAACGTCAAAGTCCTCTGGTTCAGCATCGTCTTCATTGCTGTCAAAAACTAGTTCTCCAAGTCGCACAAGGTTCACATATTTAATTATTCAGAATGTCAAAGCTCTTATTAGAAAAGTACTCACACATCAGAATAAAAGCAGCGAGCGGCGGTTAAAACCACCTGGTTACTAATCAATGTTCCTCCGCAGAACCACTTGGTTTGGTTCCCAATAGAACTGTGATGACCAAGTCGAGCTGCCATACGAAACTTTTGTGGAGGGGCTGGAGTGCCACCCACTACAACAGTCCTATGAGCTCTAACTAAAATAAATATAATATCATATATTATTATATTATATAATATACTATATTATATCTCATTGTCATCTTATTATCAAAAAGTACCCTCACCTGTATGGGCAAATATTTCATTAAAGTATAAGATACATACAAAAAGCAGTATAAAAATCAATCTACACATTTTATATTTTCCCGAGTGCAACTGCATCACGAGAAGATTTTGGTAAGACTGAAATCTCATAAGTCAGTGATTTTATTCGATGTATTACCGGCTCATCTTATCAGTAGAACATTTTAAAAATAGAAAACAAGGTTTATTTTTGATAAGATTGAGGCGGTGACTACCCTATAAAATATTTTTTTTAAATTTGCAACGGAGCAACCATAGAATCTTACGTCAAATTGTAAAACTTCCAAATAAACACAGACGAGCTCAGTTGTTTCGGGACTCCGAGCTGAAAGGTGCGGAAAAAAAGAAATTGTACAAAAAGTAAGAATTCTGAATTTTGTATATTTTTGTTTTGGTTCAAAGTGCTAAATACGCTACTAATATTTGCTCTACTGTAAGCAGATATTCAGATCTTCTTAGCTAAGCTAACAAGGCACTTATGGATCCATCGAGGTTGCAGAAGCCGCGTCCTCCGCCGCGCTGTGAGCCGGAAATCCAACCGGTGAATGGGATCGTCCAACCGCCGGTCATTCCGCCGCCGAATCGTCCAGGCCGCAAGACCAATGTGCTGGAAGATCTCAAGTCCTTGGTGAACTGGCTCTGTCGAAATCGGCTTTCGGTTTACTTTCGCGAACCCGTGGATACCGTGGCCCTTAATGTTCCGGATTATCATAAGATGATAAAGCACCCGATGGACTTGAATACGATTAAGAAGCGATTGAACAACAACTACTACTGGCAGGCGGACGAAGCACTGCAGGATTTAAAGCTGATCTTCGACAACTGTTTGTTTTATAATTCGGAGAAGACCGAGGTTTATCAGGCGGGCAAGCAGCTGAAGAACATCTTCTACAGTCGACTGGCCTTGATTGACCTGAGCAATGAGTATGAACTGCCGCCCAAGATGGAGAAGCGCAAGAGAAAGGCTGCCGAGACGTTGGACTCTGTTCCGGGTCCATCAGTGTTTGCCCCTCGAGGTCCAAGTCATTTTTCTCCACACTGGGATAGGAACAGAAACTTACCTAACCCCAAGCCTAGCGCAACCCACCATGAGAAACCTATACCATCTTACTTGGCAACCAATCTGATACCAAAATTTATGCCCGATAACTTGGATAGTCCATTGACTGCCAGGCTGCCAACATATAAAAATTTCAATGAAACACCTATGGGAAGTCAGTTCAAAAGGCCGGCAGATGTACGGGAGGATACTCCTATACCTATCCTCCGACCAATTGTGCTGCCACCACCCGTGACTACTGCTCCACTGGAACCAATTATGAAAAGACCATCTCCACCGCCGGTCCAACGTCAACCATTGCCACCAAAACCAAAAATACCAGTCATTATTTGTTATAAATCTGTGGACCGATTGATTGAAAAGAGCCATTGCGACCATCTATTGAAGTCCATGGTGAAACAAAAGCGAAAAAAGTTCACATGGGCGTTAAACAATGCGGATTACTGGAAGCAAAACTCGCTTAGTCGCAACTACAACCACGATACGGAGGAGAAACTGGATTGGAAAGTTCTCCAGAATCGTCTGGACAATGATGATTTTGAGAGCCTCGAGGGCTTCGCTAGCTCGGTGCGCAAGATGTTCCATAATGCATTGCGCTGCTTTCCAGAAGATGGATTGACCAAGATGTCGGTGAAGAAGTCCATGGAGATCTTCGATGGTAGGCTGCTCAAGTACAGGGAACTGGCTGCCACTGCCAAGGAAAAAGTTCGAGCTTTGGTGGCCAGCAGGAAAGAAGATTTGGAATTCGCAGAGACCAAAAGCCAAAGTTTGGGAAAACGCCAAGGCTCTTTCAAAATGCCGCCTCTATATGACGATTCCGATTAAAAATATGACGGAATTCTCCTAGTTAAATAATTATCGAATATTACGTACATAATTCTAATGTTTAAATATACTGGTTGAGAAGTGGCGCCCTCTAGTGGTATATTTTCTTACTGAGCTCTACATACATTACCATTACGCTATATTTTTCAAATGAACATTGAACTTGCTAATTAGAAATTACATTTAAATTTAAATGTGTCTTTCAAAGTAGATCCAAAATTGGATTTTAAGAAATTTGAGCAGCTGTTAGGGTGACCAGCTGTCACCACATCCGGCAACTCCAAAAGCAGTGTTGCAGACTGCCAGCCCGTCACGCCCTTACCAACACTAAGCTGTTGCTTCGCATTAAAATTTTATACTCGACTTGATCGGAAAATTCCAGGAAAAGTCGAAAGTAGGCATTAAAAAACAGAGCAGCTATGTCCTATCAACTTTACCGCAATACCACGCTCGGCAACACACTGCAGGAGAGCCTCGATGAGCTGATTCAGGTGAGCTATGCGCCCACAATATGGCTGTCCAAACAGAACGTATTGTAATTTTCACCGATTCCATATTGTAGTACGGTCAGATCACACCCGGATTGGCTTTCAAGGTGCTGCTGCAGTTCGACAAGAGCATCAACAATGCCCTCAACCAGCGGGTCAAGGCCCGCGTAACCTTCAAGGCTGGAAAACTGAACACATACCGCTTCTGCGATAATGTCTGGACCCTCATGCTCAACGATGTGGAGTTCCGCGAGGTCCACGAGTTCGTCAAGGTGGACAAGGTCAAGATTGTGGCCTGCGACGGCAAGAGCGGCGAGTTCTGAGCACCACCGATCCGATCTGAGCCCCATATACCCGTATACACCATTATAATCATTACAAATAGGTTTAAGATCAATAGTCGATAAGCTGGGTTGGCCACCAAAAAACCGACCGTGTGATGCAGTAGGCGTTGCAAGAAATATACTGTTAATTCATAGTTCAACAAGTCGAGGATTTTTGTTATTTATTCCGTGAACAACTACTTTGATTATAGAATTCATAGTCGTGGTGAGGAGTGCACGTTGCATAAAATTTTATTGTTTTAGGAAACGTTTGGATGTTCGTATTTCGAAGAACATTGCTGAATGCTCTAATTAGTCGTAGCTAGTCGAGCTTTTTAAGGGCAAATGTAAATTTTACAACACATTTAAGTTTTCAGTGTCATTTATATCCAGCGTAAAGGCGATCTAGATGGGGAGGCGTGTTTGAGCGATAACGTATCCTACTCTTGGATCCGGGATTGTTGCTCTTTTTTGGTAGGGGTTTCTCGAGCACTACAAAGTCGTGGACGAAGCAGGCAAAATTACGGTTGTTGTGTAAGGCTTTTAAATTATGACTTATGTTTTCAGGATATTTAAAAGGTTGTCTCCAGCCTAGTCTTTTAATTTTGATATGAAGTGTTGCAATGGGAAATGGGCTCGAGCTAAATGAACTAATGCTTGCGACCTGCTTTCCCTTCTTATTTCCTGCACCTTCTATTAACCCTTATCGCCCGCTCTGTTCAACATTTTTGAATCAAGGCTCCATGCGTTCTTCCTCTTCCATGGATATGAGTTCTATTTTTCACGATCTGGTAACTTAACAGAATGTTAGTCACCCTAAATGGTTCTAGTCCCTACTAACTTTAAGCGGAACTTTGAGCCATAGATTTATAATTATAATTTAAGTTTAACGAGTTTGTCTCTTTCTTTTGCTGACTACGTTTAGTTAACAGAACCAATGTTAATAAAGCCAAAAACTTGACATTTCTATTAAAATACCTTACTTTTTGGTGTGATCGTCGTGGATTTCCGACCAACTCAAATGCGGTCTCTAACTCATTTTGTCTCTTTCTTTTACCGACACTTACGTTGGTGTTGTCACCGTCTGACTCTTACGTTTACTTACGTTAACGGCGCATTAGCTAACAGAGGGTTTCCTCTGTTAGTTAACAGAGCCAGTGTTACCATCGACGGTTATGGAAAACTGCCCCTCTGTTACTTAGCCGACGTGTAGTTTTCGCTGCGACGGAAAAAGCACCCCACCACCCCCGAGTTTCCAACTCGTTTCGGGCTCTTCTCTGTTTCGACCTGCAGTCACACTTTCAAAACCGAAACCGAACCGAAAACCACCGCCCGCATCAGCACGCATCGTTATTTGTTGTTGTCTACGCCGTTTCATCGCTGACAATTTTAACAACAAAACAAAAGGAAAGGCAGACACTGCCTTCGATTTGAAAGAGTTGCGACTCCAAAGGCGCCAGGCGATCGAAATCGAAGCGAATTTAAACCGAAAACGCGCGCGAGATGCGGAAAAGCCAAACGCCGCGAGCTTTGTTTATGTGTATCGGAAAATAACACAGGAAAATCCCTAAGATTCTGTGTGCGGATGAGCCAGTGCGAAAGCAATACAAATAATAACCGAAGCAGATTGCTGAGTAAATCGCATTCGAGAGGTAAAAATGCAAATCGGAGTGTGATTTTTGAGAGTGTGTGTTAGTGTGCGAAGTGACTAAGCGCCGCAAAGAAAGTGGAAAAGCGGAAAAGCGGGGGGCGTTCGAAAAGTGGGAAAGGGAAAAATCTAAAGTGCATTCATATTGCGTGCTAATCTCCGCCGTTTTCCACTGCAGCAGAAACGTGAATATAATTACGGCGAAAGCGGATCAATAAAGTGATTTTTCGTGCAGCCCATAAAATTAAAATAAAACCTTGCGTTGGCGTCGCAGCAGAAGCAGCAGCAGAAAAAAAACCCAAGCAGAAATATAAATAAAATTATCTACCC